TCCGCGCGATGCTGGGAAGTCAGAGGCGTCTTGGAAGGTGGGGCCATGTTGTTCGGAGGTGGTGATGGGCTGTGAGGGTTTGATGTCGCAGAGACCAGGGAGGACCCTCCTTCAAAGTCTTCTGTATATGTCGCGTCAGCTTGAGGCGCTGAGGGAGCCATCGGTTCGGACGTGCCATTGGCAGAGCTCAGGTCGGACAACTGCAGTGAGCTGATGGGAGATGATGGGGCGAGACCGCGATTTGGGCCTGGCCTTCCGGATGGGGGCTCTGACGTGGGCGAAGGACTTCGTGCGGCCCAGCTGCGCAAGTGCACGGTCGGTTCAGAGAAAGAAGAGGCTTCAGGGTCGCTGGGCATTGGACGAAACGATGATGGCGCAGAGACACTGAGGTCAGCGTTAAAGCTCTCGGGCTCCTCCTCGACAATGGAATCGGGTCCATCGTTGAAAGAAGGGTCTTGAAATGAGGAGACGGGCGCGGTGTGTACCACCTCCGAGCGCGCGGTGTGCACCGGCTCCGAGGGCGGCGATGGCGAGCGCCGCGCAGCAAAGGAGTCTGTGTACTGGCCGCCAAAAGCCCGTGCTCGTCGCGGGGAGGGAACCGGGAGCTGATCAGGCTCGGATGCAACGTCTGATCCTGAAAGCTGAGCAAAAAAATCATCCGCCGTCATAAAACGGTTGGCGCCGGAAGTCGCGGCTTGAATTGCGGCGGGAGGCGGGCTCAGGGCGGCGGGGGACATGAGGCGAGGTAGTGGCTTGCCACGGGCGGTAGGCAAGGGTTGTGTTTGTGATGGAGAAGGGGACCGCAAGGTGGGCGAGCGGCTGGGAGTCCGCGAATGCACGGAAGATGGTTTTCGTTGCGGCGGGGTCCGTCGACGCATCAGCGGCCCACTGCGTGTTGGGGGACGCGGGGACGCTATTGGACAGCCAGATCAAAGAATGAGATGTACGGGCGACAAACACGAGCAACAGTCGGAAAAGGGTGGCCCAGCTGTGTCACGCTGTGTCACGCAAAAAAAAAAAGAGGTGCAAAAACTCACAGCTGGCATCGCTCACGTCGGAGAGAGAGGAGGTGAGGTGTACCGAAGAGTTGTCGCGGTCAAAGTTTGATGCCGTTGGCTCACGGGCCAGGTTGGCCGAGGCTTGCCGCGGTAGGCCTGCGAGGCCCGCAAGATCCGGCTCTGCCGCTGTGACAGTGCGTCGCAGCCACTTTGAGGCGGAGGCCTTGCCAGCAGCTTTGGTCGCCGGTTGAGGGTTCCGCGTCGAAGTCGCAGGCACACCTCGACTCTGGGCGTAATTGGCGGGCACACCGCGTCGATGCGCGGGTGCCCCACCCCGCGCCCCACCACCTCGACCACCCGCAGCCACTGCCGGGCCTCTTTTATCGATCGTGTGCAGGTAAGCAGCCAAGTCCTCCTCATCATCGCGATCCAGCCAGTTCATCGCCCCGGTCTCACACACGCACACACACGGGCGCGCGCTTTCTCTCTCTCTCTCTCTCTCTCTCTCGCGAAATTCAGAAAAAAAAAAAAAACGGAAATTCAAGCTGCTAAGCGATAGTGTGACTTCTGCTACACTGAATAAACGAATACAGTGACGATAAAAATATTACATTACAGCAGGCGAGAGCAGTGAAAATGTTTTATCACCAACCGGTTTGTATTGGATGGAGACAAGTTTAGCTCTTAAAATGATTCAAAAACGTTTGGCGCGAAGGTTTGTTTTGCCCTTCTGGGCGGGGTCTTTTTGGCGCTGGCGCTGAGAAACAACACAATGCAACAGCAACAACAACAGCAACCATGATCACGCAATGGAAAGGGGCCCGTCGGGCATTTTCCATTTTTTCGCGCCACTGCTCCTGCTCACGCTTGCCCTGAAGCTGCCACCGCCTTAACAAACGTGCTACCGAACAAAGACCAACATGGACGGCTCTGTCACCAAACGGTAGGCTACCCGGCTGCCATTCATAAATCGACTGCCGTTCCTCCACTCACGAGCCCGGTCTTGATTCAACTCGACCGATTGATTTGACAGCCTGCAGCAGGAGCTGATGACGCTCATGATGAGCGGTGACGCCAGCGTGACGGCCTTTCCCGAGGGCGACAACCTGTTTTGCTGGAAGGGCACCATCGCGGGAGGCAAAGACACGGTGCGTACTCTGACCATTGCCATCCCGCGTGCTTTGATTTGAGGCCGTTGGGCCATTTATCGAACGATGGGGAAGCACACGGACAGCGTTTCCACGGCACATGATTCGCTTACGCGCCAGGAAGAGCAGCCCGTTGAAGCAGACTCACAACGGCACATATGTGTGTAGATTTACGAGGGTCTGGCCTACAAGGTGACAATCACGTTCCCCAACAACTACCCTTACAGCGCGCCTACGGTCAAGTTTGACACGCCCTGCTACCACCCGAACGTGGATGAGACGCACGGGCACATTTGCATTGACATTTTGAAGGACCAATGGTCTGCCAGCTATGACGTGCGCACCGTCCTTCTCTCCATTCAGGCCATGCTGGGTGACCCCAACGTCGACAGCCCCCTGAACGGCGAGGCTGCTCAGCTGTACCAAAACCGAGATGTTTACAAGGCACAGGTTCACCAGCATTATCGCCAGCATGCCCAGGCTTGCTAAGGCGAGCAGGCGGAATGTGCAACATGATACATGCGCGCCTGTCTGCGGCAGCCCGCGTCATGCCCGTTTTGCACCCGACATCGTATCTGTTCATGTGTCGTCGCGAGATAACTTTTGCTTACATGTTAATTCTTTTGCGTTCTCTTCACCGTTGTTGTGTTCCACGACCCCGCCTGGCGGTTCGGTTCGTGTGGTCTCGGTCCTTTCTCTGTTTGTGACGGGTGTTTTTGCAGCGAGACCTTGCCCCATGGTTGGGATCAATCGATAATGCAAGCCCCTTCTTCACTTCGTCTTTTGGGAGTTGTGCCACATAGTCACATACTCATTGTTGGCATGCTGATGTGTCAAGCATGAAAAGTGAGCCAACCACAGCCTTGCCGGACAGATCTCGTTGGCACGCAACGGGATTTGCCATAGCCTGGGCTGACCTCAACTGGAATAATCCTATGGTCCATTCATGCGTACATGCAAGCAAACCCACTGAATGCTGACGTTGTTGCAGCAAAAAGTAGATGTCAGTGCTTTGATTTCACCAACACGAGTTCCAAACCCAATAACCACAGACTGTGCGCAGGCACGATCATGAGTAGAGCCTGTGTGGTAGGTCCGACTGCTGGGTATGGCGATGCAATGCGCTGGTTCCTCTGACTGTGATGTCTGGGTGTGATACCATCTGATGTCAAGTGTGGCTTGCGTTTTGGTTCGTGTAGACCGCGCGCGCGCGCTTGTGTGGATGGCAGGCAGGCTCGCCACCACATATGGCAGCTGATGATCAGGCTCGGAATGATCGGGTTCTTATTTTTTTGACATCAAGTGCTGGGCGCCGAGGAGGTTCCTTCCTGCCTGATCCGGTCACTGCCAAAGGGTCCAGCAGCGGCGCTCATCGCGACGCGATCGCAGAAGACCATCCGATGCACTTTGACCGTATGCATCCGATCCAGACCGCCCAGCCCCTCTGCGCTCCTCATCCCTGGGTTCGCTCACCCGTCCGAGTGATGAAAGAGAAGGAGGTGCAAGGTCTCATTCAGAAGAGGGACCTGCCACTTCTGCCCTTCCCACAAGCCATAACACGGGAATAGATGACAGGCCAACGTCGTTTTTCGGGGAAATTCAAACGCACCAAGTGTCCAGACTGACTGAGTTGCGGTTGGGCTAAATGTTAATCATCATCATCATCATCATTGTTGTGCACGACTCTACAACGCGAGCTTGGCCAAAGCGCTTTGGTCAGCTCAATTCCCGTTCATGTCATTTGTGCAGCTGAAGATCTTATGAACAGTCGGGCTGGACAGTCACGGATGAGATCAGGTGCAGATCATACCAAACATGTATGCGATTCATCATCCCCAGCTCCCGTGACTGCCGCGCCCCATGACTTCCGCGCCCTCTCGTCGTTCATCTAACCGTATTCAATTGTACATTAAACTCACACACACACACACACACACACACACACACACACACACAATCTCTCCTTACTCTCGTCAAATCTCTCTCTTTATCTCTCTCTCCCTCTCTCTCTCTTAATCTCTCAATCTCTCTCAATCTCAA